TGCATCCTGATGCGTTTTCAGGACATTCTGAAACGTGAGATTTTTTGACAAAAACGACTGGTGCTTTTAGCCTGTTCGGCATTCACAAGTCTAATCTGTGAGTATTATCCACTTGCCAAGTGCTGGTTATAAAACTGAACTGCAGCACACAGTAAAATCACACCGTAGTGGTATCATAATTCATCATGGGCACAGACAGCCCAGCCGGCTCTCCCACCAGCTTAACACTGCAGAGACACACACCATTTTCTTTTGATGGATCACTCCGTAATCATTATAGAAGTGCGGCTGCATGGCCTACTTCCTGCTGCTCCATTATCCGTGTGTGGCCTATTTCTGTGGTCCGAGCCTCACAGTGCTATCCTACACCACGGAAAGGTCCAGCTGCCGGGAATAGCTCACTGTGGGAGTCCCCCATTTCATGGAGGGACGGCTCCTCTGCTCTGACATGTGAAATAAAAATAATACATGTGGAACCGGGTTCAAGCATCCATCCAGTGAAACATGAAGTCAGCACGGATTAGGTGATGTTAAGAGAGGAGCATCCATCATATCCTCAGACTGATGTATTGGTGTCACTTCATGTGGTGCCACATAATCTGCAGAATTGGAAGCAACAGTGTTTGATTTTGTAGAATAATGCTTTCATCATCTGATGCCCTCAGTTACTGTTTTATACTTTAATGCACTGTGGATGTAGCTAAAGTTTAATGTGACCACCCTTACAAAGAAATGCTACAGTGGTTCTATAAGCAAGACTATACATTTGCTCAGAAGTGACCTCTGTCGCAATTATGGGAAACTTTTAAATGCTAAAACTAAGAGTAACAGTCGCACAGTTAGATGAGGGCTACAAGGTGGCGTGGTGGTTAGCCACCTTGCAGCAAGAAGGTCACCGGTTCGCGTCCCGGTGAGGATACCCGGGCTGTTTCTGCGTAGAGTTTGTATGTTCTCCCCGTGCAGCGTGGGTTCTCTCCAGGTTCTTCCTCCCACAAGGTCCAAAAACATGTTGATGTGAATTGGTGATTCTAAATTGTCCGTAGGTGTGAATGTGAGCAGAAAGATCACATTCCCAGGACCTTCTGGCTGTGAGGTAACAGTGCTAACTCCCTTATCACTGTGACACCCAGCACTAGAAATTGCCTCACAAAAATGTTTGGTTTCCTATAGAGAGTTGTAGTTCACCTCTAGCAATGCAAGTTTGCAGCAAGGTCATATTTTCAAATTTGAATGGACCTCTAGCTAACTTTATGGAAAACATGTGACAAACAGTCCAATCCATTAGAACATCCAGCTCAAACCCATAGCCTTCCTGTCGTGAGGTGAACCACTGCACTGCCGTTTAAGTATCAGTAACAGGTTGCATGGTTCCTGCAGCTGGAAAACACTCAAAAGTTGAGGCCGCCAGCATGGCCCGGCAGTGGAAAAGCCTATTCTCTTTTATATCCTCAGCTACTCTATGTTTAGTGTCATTTTATGGACTAAACCAACTTCTCTGGAACCTCTGTGAACTCTATAGCTAGCATTGTGGCCTGACCTTTACACATGCAGTAAAAACTTTGTCGATTTAATCAATTCCACATCACAGCAGCAGCAGCGGCAGGAAGAAAACGCAGACAATCACAGAGGAAAAGAAGACTGAGAGATCCCAGGCTGTGGCTTTGATCCAAATACTAACTGTGGATTTACTGGTTGAGACACAAAGAGCTCAGCAGGAAACACCATCGTCTGCAGACTATCCCTTCATACAAAACACACCATCTTCAGCTACAAGGAGAGCAGCACCAACTTGGGAATCAAGGTGAATATGTCACTGTGCAGTCTGGCTTCGCTCACCCTAACAGACTCATTCAGGCTGGATGTGATCACCCAGGTCATGGTGGTGAACACCCCAGGGTGGCTGTCCTGCTCCACCATACCAGGCAGACTGTCCAGGAGCTCTGCAGAGGTCACCCAGAGTCCCATGTCATGCTGCTGGTGTCCACCTCCACCACAGAGACGTGGTAGGTAAAGATCATTACAGTTGCCTGACATGTTTTCCTAATTCTCAGTGTTTCTGTGACAGCGTCTCACTACTGACTTCTCAAACAGCACATTCATTTCTATTTTGGTAACACATTTGACTGGTTGTTTATCCGTGTTCCCGGTGGTTTCCAACTTTGGGTACAGCACTGGGGAAAGGGCTCATAAGATATATGGGGGGGATTATGCTGCAAGAGGACTAAAGGGATAAATAATAAAAGATTATGGTTATTTTAGCCTTGAGATGGACCTGTCCAGGGTGAACCTCGCCTCTCCACCAGTGTCAGCTGGGACAGACACCCAGAGATGAAGCAGACTGCTAATGGATGGATTATGTTTATTTTTGTAGTTTTTCTCCCATCTTTGCTTGTTAAACACCAGGTATATTTTCCTCTTAAGGGGCTTCAAAAAAAAAAGAAGAAAAGGTTAAGAAAACAATGCTTTGCTGTGATCGCTCTCAGTTGTTGTCGTTTAAGGTTATTTTAGGTCAAAATTGCCCTGAAACAACCTCACACTCAATTTGCTGCATTCACCGAACACGAGCAGTCAAAGGTTATTCCAGGTGAAGGGTTTCTATTGGTTGACAGCGCTGCTCCTCCGACCAATGACAGCTCTGAATGAAACTTGACAGGGAAGTTCAGCTGAACGTCAGAGGACGAGCTAACAAGCTATCCGGAGTTAGCCGTTAATTACGTTGAACGGCCGTTCGGTGTCACCGGGACTGTTTTTAGTCTTTTACTGCCTTTTGTTTGACTTTTACGGTGCTACGGCAGCGACAGAAAGAGGAGGAGGTCTGCTGACATTATGCTCGCCGCCTTGCTGTGCGGAGCTGTGGTGTTTCCGGGGCTTTTCTGCAGCTTTAGGAAAATACTGAAACTCCGCTTCGCACGGTGGAGCGACGCCGACGCGGTCTGTGTCAGTGAGAGGTCAGACACGGCTCCCCGCACCGAGCTCCCTTCACAGAGCGCCACTTTTAACGTTGCATCGTTTGTCTTTAGGCTATAAAGCGTTATGGAGATTTACTTTCAGTTTCAGAATAATAGAAACAGGGAGTTGGTAAATTCGGCACATATGCAATGAACCAACTTTTGGTTTCTGTACGTTTTTCAGTAACAGTTCCCCTTATTGTCTTCCTATAGAGACAGTGAGGGTGGTACTAAGCTTTATCAACCTGTTTGACAAGTCTTGCTCATATGTGTGACACCAAACTACACCTCAAATATTTGTTATGTATGCAGTGGTGCTAAAAAGCAAATCACCGCCTTAATATGCATGTACTTAAATGGAGTTTGGTGTTGTGGCCCACAAACAGAGTGCAATCTGCAGTTTCATTGTTTTTGACAGACGTGTGTGACTTTGTCTCCTCAGATTGGTCTCCTCCATCCATGCAACACTGGCCACAGCAGCTGGAGTCACAGTGGCTTCATCCTGCAGGGACGTCATGACTGACAGGTGGGAGAGTTGGCTCCATTTTGAAGTTTTATCACTGTGAAGAACATTTACCAACAGCAGTGTCGTTGATATAAGCAAATGGGTCGATGCTTTATGCCTTTTTGTAGCAAAGCAACACACAAAACAGTCAAGCAGGGTTACTGTCTGTTTGCCTGCTGTCTCGCCACACAGTCACTGGCTGGTCACCGGCTTCGTTTTCTTTGGCGCTCCCTACATGGCCTATGACATCTTTGCCATGTATCTGTGCCACTACCACACTCAGAAGGTCAAAGGTCGCTCCCCTGCAGACAGCAGCCACTCTCTGCAGACAGTCAGGGCTTTCCTCCTGAAGGACTGGATGCTGGTCCTCCATCACGCTGCCCTGCTCGTCATTTTCATGCCCATCGTTCTGGTGAGAACAGGGATGAGTCACCGTCATTGTCATAGTATGTTTACATTTAGCTGACAGAGCGGTGTGTCTGACTTGCAGTTCTTAAGAAGAGGACTGGGGGATTTCTTTGTCGGCTGCATGTTCACTGCAGAGTTCAGCACTCCTTTCCTCTGCACAGGACAGATTCTGATCCAGGTAAACCACAAAGACATTATGTACGGGAATAGAAAATGGTACTGCAACCATCCATCTGTGTCTTATAATGTCTCACTGTATTGCTACAGCTGAATAGGCTCAGTTACAGCTAAATTAGGCTGAAATGATTACACTAGGTGCCTTAAAGATTGGTCCTTCTCTGTTTATGTCCCATTTTATTCAGTTTAAACCTTTCATTAAAGACATAAACTGTAATAATTAAACAATAAAGGCATCTGAGGTACAATCTAATATGTAACCTTTGGAAGCTGCACAGAGTCACTGTTTGAAGGTCAGTAGAAATTACCCAGACATTAGTCCAGGTTTGTTTCAGTGACAGCATTTCAGTCAAATGGAGTTTTTTTTGATCATCCTATTTGATGTGATGTTTACATAAAACTACAACATGCCTAATCTTTTCGATCCACTTCCTCCACCGTCTTCTTTCCATTCTTCGCCTCCTGTGTTTCTCTCCTGATATCCAGCTGGGCCTCGATAACACAAAGCTGCACAAAATCAACGGCCTCATTGTCCTCCTGAGTTTCTTCACGTGTCGGATCCTGGTCTTCCCCTTCATGTACTGGAGGTACGGGCTCCAGGTTGGGATTCCTCTGCACAGAGTGGCCTTTCATCTGCCTCTGCAGTGCAACCTGGGTAACCTGGTGGTCCTGGCTCCCCAGATCTACTGGTTCTACCTGCTGCTGAGGAAAGCCAACAGACTGTACCTGAGACAGAGCAGACAGGCAGACAAAGACAAGCCGAGGACGGACTGAAGAGTTCCGCTGTTTGCAGAAATGACACGAGACACGAAGATCAAAAACATGATCAGTTTTTAGTGCCACTATTAGGCAGAAAAAAAGAGATTCTGAGAATAGAGTTTTTATATTTTAAGAGTAAAGCCATAAGTTACAAGGAGAAAGGTTTGTATTTTGAGGATAAAGTGACAATCTTGGATCAGTGGTTAGCACCATTGCCTCGCAGCAAGGAGGTCGCTGGTTTGAGTCCCAGTGAGGACACCTGGGATCTTTCTGCGTTGAGTTTGCATGTTCTGCAGCGTGAGTTCTCTCTGGGTTGGTCATGCTTTAAAATCACTTATTTAACATGCTAAATGTTGGTTTCGAAAAGTCATCCAACTGCAGGTGACACATTATTTAAACCAATATGATGCCAACATTAGAAGTATACATTAGTTTCTCTGCACAAATTAGTTATTTTTATTCATCCACTGTCTCGTTAGACGTGTGACCTTAATGTTAATTTCATTATTGATTATGGGCAATGATGCAAGGTGGCTCGGTGGTTAGCACCGTTACCTCACAGCTCAAAGGTCACCGGTCATGTCCCGGTGAGGACATCCAGGATCGTTCTGCGTGGAGTTTGCATGTTCTCCCCGTGCAGCGTGGGTTCTCTCCGGGTTCTCCGGCTTCCTCCCACAGTCCAAAAACATGTTGAGGTTAATTGGTGATTCTAAATTGTCCGTAGGTGTGAATGTGAGTGTGCTTGGTTGTCTGTCTCTAAGTGTAGCCCTGTGATAGACTGGTTACCTGTCCAGGTGAACCTGCCTTCACCCTGAGCCAGCTGGGATAGACTCCAGCCCCCTGACCCTATTGAGGATTAAGTGGTGTATAGATAATGGATGGATGGATGGATGGATGGAAGTGATAATCTTTTACAAATTGAAGTTATATTGTTGGGGAAAAAAAAAACAAAAACAAACTTATAGTCATGATTTTTCATTTAGAAAAATTATAGTCTCATCTTTTTATTGAGTTGTTATACATTTTTAGAACATTTTCCCCAAAATATACCTGTACATTTGCGTTGTTTCTCACAACATTCAATTTTTTACTAAAGTTTTCCTGAACTAGTGACTCATAAGTCACACATTGACTTTTTTCTATAAATCTTTGCAACGTTCCAGTTATTTTCTGACAACATTTAGTCATTTTCTTTGTTCACTATAACACTGTTTCCCAAAATATGACATAAACCAAAAAACTGTCTACATAATTAGTGAAGAGTTGCACCTTATTTTACCCTCTTTATTTTCTGTTTTGTTTTTTTCTACTCACTGCTCAAATACATTGTGGGTCAGTGAAGTCTTAGCAGTTCAGTGTTTGTTTTGCACTATGCGATTGTGTGGCTTTAATCTGAATAATTGTTTTCATTAGTTACAGTGTGAATGTTTCCTCTTCGCTGTGACATAACTGTCTGACATTTTGTCACAGCTTGAACAAATTTTAGCCCCAGAGACTATTTTTGTACAAATTAAACTTCTCTTTTTAAATAAAAAAACTATCAAATGAAGTATTGATAAGTGACGCAGCACTCCTCAAGTGTTTAATGATGGTGAGCAGCGGACACACAGGGTTAATGTATGCATGCCCCAAACACAAAGTGCCCTGGGTGTACAGTAGATAAATTTGTAATTAAATTGCAAATTTATCCTCTAGTTCACATTAGCATACTATCTCAGCCTCCACATCCTTTTAGTGGAAATGAATATTACTGAGGCAGCACCAGAAGACATTTGCTGTGAAATACTGGATTTTAATTCACACAGTTTCTGAGGCCATCGCTTTGTAATAACTTCTTAAATTAGCCGAGTACAGTGTGTGACGCTGACAGCTCTAATTGTCCTTGTTTCCTCACCAAACCTGCTCAGAATTGTGAACATTTTGCAACTTCGCCTCACAAAGTCAGCGTGTCAAGCCGCTGATGACACGAGCTGAGCGATCTTCTGCTGCAGCACCGCCTTCATCTCCTGGTTCTCCAGGTTGTCGGTGATGGTGGAGAAGAAGTGGCGGGTGTTGTCGCTCTCCAGCGGGCTGCAGCTGTCCGGGAAAGCTGCCATGACGGCCTCGTAGTGACTGAGGATCTCCAGACTGGACAGGAACAGAGGCTCACACTGGCCTCCAGGCATCATCACCTGGGAGGAGGAAGAGATTACACCACTGAGACTTAATACATACAATACAAGAAGTTTTGGACATCAAAATATTACAGCAAATACACAACTTTAGATTTGTGTTTTTGTCAATTACAATCTAGCATTCTCACTAGCAATGGAAAGATCTTAATATAGGGCTGCAACTAATGGATATGTTCATTGTTAAATAATCTGTTGATTATTTTTTCAATTAACTGGTAAGTTGTTGGTCATCAAAATGGTAGAAAATGGTAAAATTTGTCAGTGTTTCCCAAAGCCAAAGATAACAAATGCTCTGTTCACACCCCAAAGATGTTCAGTTTACTGTCAAAGAGGTGGAAAGACACCAAAAGATATTCACATCTGACATTTTTCCCCTCGGCCTAATAATTCCTACCTGGATGTGCTGAACGTGGCAGAAGAGCTGGCTGAGAACAAACAGAACTTCCTGGCAGGGTGCCGTCCTCTCCTCCTCCATGTGTGATTTTAGAATAGAGTCTCCTCCATCCTCCAGATGGTCTTCAGACATTTTAGAAGCTTTGACTGGAGTGAGAGAGGGATTTGAGCCTCTAGACGCTGGTCTTTTAGGAGATGTTGAAACAGAGACTGCTGAAGCGCCAGATGAAGGAAGAGGCAGCTTGGCTCTCACGGAGCTAATCATGTCCCTCACAGCGTGGGAGTATAACCTGCCGACATGGGCCCAGCCGTCCACCGACAGCCAGTCGGAGCAGCTGGACCCGCACAGCAGCTGAAGGACTCGAAGCAGGAGGACAGACAGGCGGAGCTCACACGAAAACCTCCTCAGGTCCAAGAGGGGCAGGTAGTCCACGTACTCCAGAGAGAAGGGGACGTGGAGGCGAGAGGAGGTGATCAGCTCCTTCAGGGCTCTCAGCAGTCTGCTCCACTGGGAAACAGAGCACCAGGGCAGGGTCTGGGTCAGAGCCACCAGCAGGCCTTTGCTGAACATGCTGACGTGTTCGGGCTTGTGCTGGTCCAGAGAGAGATGGGACAGCATGGTGGACTGCAGGGAGTCGGATATAGAGCAGCACTCCATCCAGGCTAGGAGACCCGTGCCCTGGCTGTACGGAGGCAGGTCCAAGCCCGACCACTCCTACAGAGGAGACACAAAGAGATGCAGTGTCGGTACAGAAATCGGTTCAAATGTCCCCTTTTCTGTTTTCTACTGAGACCAGCAGCTACTGTCTGTCATCCTGTCGTCATGTGGGCTGGCTCCATTTCCACCTCCAAGCACAAAGTTTATCACCGCTTGTGATGAACAACTATTTCACTACATTTCTACAATAAACGCTGAACAGAAGTCACTGGCTGGACTCAAAGAATATCAAGTACTTTAGAAGCACTTTAGAATTCCAGGGCTGCCTCTGTAAAAGCATGAATACACCAGGGCAGGTGTTATTTATCTACATGCTTTCTTACACGCGTATGCAGCGAACAACCAGAAATCTATCCATTCTATATCCATCTGTTCCTGTGCCCATGTGTGGGTTCATTTGCATGCAGAAATACCCACAGAATGCCAAACACAGACAAATACGTCCTCCTGACAGTTAGTGTAGCTGTGGCCCAGTAACTGGTGACAAAAGCAGCCACCAAGTAGAGCTGCAGATATGATTTTATTAATTCATCTGCCATTTATCATTTCTCCATGAGTCCATTAAGTTTTAAAAACATGCCAAAAAGGCGAAAAAAATACTCCTCACAATCTCACACAGCCCGCAGTGACATACTCAGTTTACTGGTTCTGTGACAAAATAAACTTCAGGTCATGTGAACATTTAGTTGAAACCAGGATTAATATTAATGAGTCTCAGTAATCTGACCTGTCTATGAAGTTTTATTTTATGGACATTTCAGTTGGTAATAGACGTGAAATTTTAGGTAAAGTAAAAGAGAATAGGATTTTCTTTCTGTAATGTTTTAGACCACAACTGGTTTTGAATTCACGTAATTCAAAGTCTGTGTGTGTCTATCCACTAGTGTAACTGTAAGCAATTCAGACGTGTACCATGTTAAGAGTGATACAGAAATGTTACCGTAGTCGACCTCGTATGATTTCTGACTCGACTTTACAGAGAATTAAGCAAAGGTGCTCATTCAGATATGAAGCCGACATTTTCAGATGTTGTCCGACTAAAAGAAAGGGATGTATGTCTAAAATGCCCTAGAATCAAACTACTATTTTAATGTAATTTGTAGACATCACATCTGTGTTTGTTGCCTGACTTTACTGCTGAGATGAATTATTCAACCACCAGGTCTGATGCAACATATTAGCCTTTACTTGTAAAAGGTTTAGGTTGATTCAAGAGTTCTTACCTGCTCAGGTAAATCACACACAGCCAGCAGAGACGAAGGCACCTCATTTTTAAAGTGCTGCCCCCACACAGGCTTCAGGTGGAACCGGATCGTCCAGTCCAGTTCCTCTATTTTGTTGTAGAGCCAGAACAGAGCTCTGGACCAGCTGCTGGGGTCGGCTGCCACCTCTGCACCCACCACCTGCCCCAGCGTGGTCAGCACCGTCACCAGCAGCTCCTTGGACTCCATGGAAAAAAGGTGGACAGCGCTCTCTGGTGGCTGCTCATAACATCTAGCAGAGATCAAATCGACTTTACAGTGAGTAAACAGTTCAGGAGAAAAACAAAGGAATAGTTCATACATCTGGATCTGGACTGAAGCTCATCATGCAAACCTGAGAGTCTGGTTGTGCAGCTGTGCCAGGATGTAGAGGAGGGGGAAGGGAGAGCAGTCCAACACCCAGTGAGGAGAGGAGGCTGGTCCCTGGACGTCCGCAGACAGAGCAGTGTGGAGAAGCTGCAGACTCAGCTCTGCGTCAACGGAGCAGTGACCTGGAGGGAAACACTGACGAGTGAGCCAGAGCAGACGAGCAGGAAATTACAGCATCACTACTTTAGAAAAATCGCTGAAGATGAAGATGATAAGAGTTCACAGAAAAATAATAAGCTGTGATGGCGGTGAGGACATGTGCATTTATGTACAATCCGGTGGCAAATTTCACTACGTTCACCTGACAGATTAAGACCACTAGTTAATTACCTGAAGGAAAGCCAAAGTGTTTGGACGGTTCCGAAAAACTCTTATCTCCCTCTCTTGCTTTCTGCACTCCATCACTGTCATTTTCTGGTGTGTAGGAGGCTTTTTTTTTTATACGTTCATCTGGTATATTGAACATAACCTGCTCTGCAAGGGTTAGGCGTGCAGCGTAGGTTACCATGAGGATCAAAAACCACTGTTGTAATCCTGAAAACTCAGAGTTAATACCTCGATACCCAAATACCTGCTCCGTACTTTCAAGCCTCAGGAGTGAACATGAACATTATGCAAAGTAACCAGAGACACATGATTTATTGATTTCTTAACGCCACATTCTATTTCAATATGAACATCCAGGTACCACTTATCGGAGCACAGACACTAGCAGTGATGGACATAGTGAGCTGGTTTCAAATCACCTCAAATATTATTTCTACTTTATTCACCAACTCATGCAGTGGCACTTCCTGTACATACCGGCTATACCACATGAATAAATGGTGTATTTCAGTCATGACAGAGGCAGACTATCTGAGTCTCTTGTTCACCTACTCATGTCTCATCTCCTCATTCAGCTTACAGCCCTGTGCTACAAACCTCATTGGCTCTCACTGGACAGAGTCAATGATGAAATTAACATTCAAGTCACACCTCTACAGAGACAGTAGACGAATGAAAAGAACTAATCTGTGCAGAGAAATGAATGCATACTTCTACTGTTGTCATCAAATTGGTTTAAATAATGCATCACCTGTAGTTGGATGACTTCTAAACCAACATAAAGCATGCTAAATAAGTGATGTTAAAGCATGACCAACATGCAGACGGATACCCACCCATAGCAGAGAGGTTCGGCAGGACGAAGGCGTTCACGACCTCCTGAGGTTGCAGGAAGCTTTGCTCCTTTTCTTCTCCCTGAGCTGCAGCGACAGGCATCATCAGCAGGCCCAGAAACTTGAGGAACTGTTCTTTTTCATTGGCTGACAGAGATTTGGTCCTGATCATGTCCTGTAAACACCTGCTGAGTGGACTGCTACTACTCACAGCATCCTTTCCTTCAGCTGTACTTTCCTCTCCATCTTGCATTTCTTCCTCATTCCTTTGAGCTCCATCTTCTCTCCCTCTCTGACCTCGAAGTCCAGGCAGCTGCTGCAGGATCTTAGCCATAAGAGAGAAAGCTCCTTTATTGAAAATAGCTGAATGACAGCAGGATCTTAAAGCTGCCTCTGGGTTCTGAAATGCCACTCTAGCTACTAAAGAGGCTGCTGTGTTCAGATTGCCCTGCGACGCTGCAGCTGATGCTCCAGCCCCCCCTTGGATGATGCAGTTGAAGGCCATGTTGAGCTCCTGTTCGAACCCATCAGTCACAGCAGACGGTACAGCGCAGCCAAAGAACCCCCTGCTGGATAATCCCAGCATGGCAGCCAACGCTCTGTTCTTGTCGTCTAATGACAGCGCAGAGAAAATATCTGCAGTGATTTTCATCAGCTTCCTGCACTGGCTCACATTGGAACTCCCGCTGTGGAGTTTGCTCATGAGGGTGGAGGAGAGGCTGATGAGCGTGTCGTGCCGCCGGAAGGCCGCTTGGTTCTTTTCCAGACAGTCCAGCCAGCGCTCATCACAAGCCGCCCATGATGCCTCGCTGGCAAACAACACTGCAAAGTTCTCATAGTCTTCCAGGCGGTGAGTGATGATGGTGGTGATGACCTTCACGCTCACTTCAGAGCTGCTCTCTATGGCAGGGAGAGCCAGCAACTTCAGCAAACCTCTGAGTGTTTTCTTCACAGTCTCTTGGTCATCATTTTCACCTACAGCTTCAGGTGTTTGGTCTAGAGCTGTCAGGACTCTCTGAAGACTCTGTTCTAGTTGGAATGCAGTGTAACTAGGATTAGAGGCGCCCTGGAGTGTCAGGAGCTCCCTGCTTTGCCAAAACTGTGCAAGTTCTGTTATAATCTTCAAGGCTTCACTCAGCTTCATCCTGCTGGGCTGAAACTGAGATGGTATGTGAGAAGCACGGAAATCTCTCAGAGCCTCACGAATAAGTTCAGGACTCAGTTCCTGACTCTTCTTTTCTCTGGTGCTGATGACTTTAGATAGGATGTGCATCTTCTCTTTGGTTGGAACGACAACTTCTTGGTCTATTAGGAAAGATGTGTAGAGAGCATTGAGGGAAATAGATAGAGCCTGAAAGCACAGGTCTGCTGAGGATACGTGATCTTTCATGTCTTTAAGTGCACAAAGCAGAATGTGCAGAACATCAGCGTTTGGTAAGGATGCTGATAAATCCAGCGTGTCCAGCTTTAACCTCTTGGCAGCCTGAGGGGACAAACTGGCGCATTTAGAGGACAGTCGAGCACACTGGTTGGCAAACATCATCTCTATGTCGTCCTCTCCTCCCTCTTTCTTGTGATCTCTGCCTTTCCACAGTTCCCACCACACCTCCAGAAAAAGCTGGACATCGTCTTCCTTCATGGGATTGCTAGTCACATGTTCGATCAGCTTTTCCAGCTCTGAGCACATTTGAGGTTGAGGAAGACACACAAGAAAATTGGCAAAAATATCTGCAGCTGCCGTTGACTTCACCAGTTCCAGCAGGACGACACGGTTGACCTCAGGGAGGCTGTTCTGCAGAGAGAAGAAAGGGTTCTCCCTCCATGCCACCTCAACATCCTCCTCTGCCTCTCTGGCCAACAGCTTCAACCACACAACACAGATGATCTTCTTTTTCCAGTTAACAGCTGTTGGGTTGGGACGACCACAGAGTTCATCCTGTCCACAGATTTCTCTGACTGCCTCCAGGACCGGGTGTCCAACACGACTCCAGTCAGCTTTCTGGATTGAGGACAGAGATGTGGGGAGGCACAGCTTATCAGAAAGGAGGAAAGCCCCCTGAAGAACTGCTGAATCTGAAAGCACAAGAGAGCAATTGTAAAGCTAAACAAAGAACTCCCACAGAAATTAATTGGTAAGAAAAGCCTGATGTGAGGAGATTTAAAGGATTCAACTATTAATTTTTCTCTTTGGTTGTTAATTAAACCCCTAAAAACTCATCTGTGTACAAAAGTTCCATATTTAGATTGGGTTGTTCTTAATGAAATAAAATAATCCTTCCCGGCCTTAAAATAGCATAGGTGAACTCTACACTGTTTCCTCCACCCACCTCTCTGTGACATGCTGCAGTTCGAGCACACCAGCTCACTACAACTCTACCTAAACACTTCAAAACTCCTCCACACGACACAATGGTAAGTTGCAATACTGGAGAAATTAAGCCGTACATGTTGGAACAGGAAACTGACTCTGAAGAATAATAAGTACAATATTCATGTACATATTTAGAAACTAGACTGTATTTAGCATAATTACAGACATAAACCATAAAGAAATGATCTCTCTAGTAAATATCCTATGGGTTTTAATCATTGAAATACAACTCTCGCGTCATTTTGTTGTGTTTATAACATTTCAGTCACTATGTAGGAGCAGCAGCAACCACCTTTTGGCACAATAATGAAGACACACAGAAAGGATTTCCCTGCATACAGAGATCACTTAATGACACAACTTCCGGTATCATAAAGCCAACATTACCAGAAAGGTGGTCAGTTAGAAAAGAAAACGACATGTTGTCTATAAAATACAATCAGAAGTGTATAAACAGTGCTCGTCACCTTGGTTCATCATCAGTCGCTGAAAGGAGCCAAATGCAGGTAAAGTCGCTGCTTTGCTAATTTCACTCCGTTATTTTAACGCCTTCATAAACTGCAGCTCCGTGTTTCGCTCACTAGAGTCTGTTCAGTCCTCCACACCGCCGACACTCCACAGTTCACCGTCAGAGCTGACCTGTGTGTCTGTGAACAGCTCTTCTCGTGTCTCCAGCTGCATGTCAACAAGTTCGTATAAAGCGCTTCCGCCGCGTCAGAGAGCAGAGAAGAGCCGCTGCTGCTCACAGCGCCTCCTCAGGACACCGCCGGTACTGCAGCCTATCGGTCAGTCCCAGGTTAATAATGTGATTAATGTTTGTGGAAATGCAGTGAGCCGACACATGCTGAACTACTGATTTATTGTGCATTCACATGACTTTACGCCAAACACACAGCCTTCGATGGAGAAGCTGAACAGTATTCAGGACGCAGACACGTAAAATGAAGGAGACCAATCCCACGTCGCAGCGTGCTGCAATTACGCAACATACTTTTACTTGTTTTGAGATATTTTGTTGTGATCTCGAATCTTAGACTGCGTGTCTTGTGTCTGCTCGAAGCGTGATGTAAGCTGAGCGCAAAGCAGGTTTTTTTCCCTTGTAAAATGAAAGTGAAAGTGTCCCGAGTGAGTCAGTGTGCTGCTCAAGCAACAAGGAGAACCAAGGCTCAGATCACTAATGAATAATCATGGATTTAATCTCAAAGATACTCATTTCCCTCTGTCTATGTGCAGGTAAGCTATTGTCCAAAGTGATGTTATTGATTGTGGTGTTTTTGGAGCGTCGTCAGCAAATAGAAACTCAGAGATACTGTCAGTGGTGAAAGAAGTACTCAGATCCTGTACTGAAGTAAAAGTACCAACACAGCAACGTTAAAATACTCTCCTACAGGTAAATCGTACATAAGCAAAAATACTCATGTATTAGCAACAAGATGTAGTAAAAGTTTTAAAGTAAA